TCGGAACCGCCTGCATCCAATCACAGGGCCGGCTTCGCCGCAGCGGCTCCCAGGGGGGTTCTTGCGCCTGCGCCTGGACCCGCGGCCTTCTGGGAAATGTAGTTCTCCTTTAGGAGACTCGGCGGCAAGCCAAGGAAATACAGTACTGGTGGAACAATCTCAGGGGGGTTGGATGGGCAGCGGACGTCCCCCGCGGTGCTTGTCGGTCAGCTGTACGGACGCGCTGTCATGGTCGCCCCTGGATTGGGATGTGAAGGCTGGCTGTCTCCATGCCAGCAATCCGGCTGACAAAAAAATAAGAATTTTGGGAGGATGGGGAATGGGGGAAATAAGGGTGGCTAAAGGAAAAGGGCTAAACTGCATTTTGCCTGCCGTTCGCCCATCCCCGGAGATCTTGGGAGGAGGTGCTTGCACTTCCTGTGTTGGATAACTAGGTTTTGGTAGCTGATCTTAGTGTGTGGTTTATGGGCTCATCTGTTTTTCTTCAGCTTTCATTGCAATGTTATGCTGTTTACTCTCCCCTCCAGAAGTTTGCCAAATATATCAAATGCATATAACTATGGATATGCATACCAAGTAGACCCCTGCTGGATCAAAGGAATATGCTCTACCATGAGGCAGAGTGAAGCAGCTGCCTCACAGCAAATTCGGAGGGGTGGGAAAGTGGCTAGAAAGGTGTGCCACGTGGTCCGCCCTACAGCAACTAAGCTAGCTTGCTGCTCCAGCATAGCTGGAGCACCAATGAGGCGACCTGAGGCAACCCCATCTTGGGTGGCCCAAATCCCACACCAAGATCTGCTGAGAGGCCCAACAGTGTCAGTCTGCATTTTTTAGTACAAAAAGTATTGATCTGATGTGTAGAGATATTTCCTATTCTGATTAATTCAAGAGGGTTCTGGAAGCTTTTCTGTGTGAAAGAAACAAGCAGAAGGTTCATGATGTTTGTGTTATTCCTTTAGAGAAGCTGAGTACAGCTGGCTTAAACTGGGTCTCTTATATCTTTCAGTCAAGGTCATTCTGACTATAATAATAGGCCAGAAGGAGCCTGGGTTTCACTATCTTTCTATCTCTCTTCTGGTGTGGTGTTCTGTATATAGTGTTAAGCTTTAGCCTTATTATAAGTTATTGTAAGTTTTAAGTTATGTCTGCTGGCAACTGGATTTCTTATGGACAGTGGCAATCCTGAATGTATTAGATTTGTGACCATTATGCTCATTTGCCTTCAGTAGCAGTAAAGCTCTGTTGGATGAAATATTAATTGCCTCTGGTCTATTTTTTTGGGAATCCTGCAATGTGTTTAAGTTTTTTGCTCTGCTCTGCTCACTATACATTGGAGTTCTGCTCTGGATCACTTTGAGTAGAATTCCATGACAGGTCATGTGCCCAGAATGTTTTTTGCTGCTCTGATGGCTTCCTGAGGTTGAGCAGAGTGCTGAGGAGGTCTGGCTGTACGGTGCTGGAGTGTTTGCTGTGAATGAGCGAAGGAGTAGCTGTGCCAGAATGCCAGTGGACGAGGAGGACCTGGAGAGTCTTCGTGGCTGGGCAGTGTGGTGGGGTGGAATCTGGCCTTGGTGATTTATGAGCTGGGAGAGCTGTAGCTCACCAACAGGCACATATTCCCACTGTCCAGTTCCTGGCATAGATCACCCACCAAGGTGACCAAAGCAGTCTCTGTTCTATAGCCAGACTTAAAACCAGATTGAAATGGATCTAGATAATCCGTTTCATCCAGGAAACCCTGTAGCTGACACCTTGCCAAAGAATGGAAGATTGGAGACAGGTTGAAAATACCATGGGATTCAAGGAGGTTTTTTTAAAATAATAATAAAAAAAGAAATCTCACCACTGCTTCTTTTAGGAAGCTATTCTTGGGACTGAAGCTCAGTATATTGGCCTTCATCCAGCCCATCACTGCATCCAGGCACTGGTCCAGGACTCGCACAACCTCATCTGATTAAGATGTAATGGAGAAGAGCTGAATGTAGTCAGCACCAGCTTAATGATGACATCCTGCCCAAAGCTCCTAATGATTGTTCCCAGCAGCTTCATATAGATGTTAAAAAGCATTGATGATAAAATGGTGCCCTGATATGCACCATAGAGCCAATTAACACACCCACACCCACCCCATCTTACTCTCTGGACTCAACACTGCAAATAGGATCAGAAGCCCTGCAGTACAGTGCTTCCAGTGCCCATCTCACAGAGTTGGTCCAGGAGGGTACCCTGGTTAAAAGTATCAAAATCCACAGAAAGATCAAGAACAGTCCTACTCACTCTGCCCTGCTCTCAACAAAGCTCATCCATGAGGCATCCAGGCTGATTCTGTCCCACTACCAGGCCTGCTCCTAGACTGCAAAGGATCTAGATCGGGGGTGGGAAACTGGATTGTTCAGTGGGCTGGATCTTTACCTCCTTCACCCCCATGGGCCACCTGAAAGGTAGACAAGGTTGCCTACCTGTCAATCATCTGGTGTCATAGTCCTCTGCCCTCTGCTTTCCTTTGCCTGCACAGTTTGAAATCAAACTGCACAGGGCTTTGCCAGCTCTGATAATCAGCAGCAGTGGGTATGTTGGAAGACCAGCTGGCTTGTCAGCAGTTTGACTACTGTGGTTGGCCTGCTGCCAGGATCTGAGAACTGAGATGCCCCAGGGGAAACTCCTTGCTTCTGCATCTCTATAGGCCTATTTTTAACCCACAGAATGGTCCCCAAAACAGAAATGAGTTTCCCAGGGAAATGTTCAGAGCACAGCAGAACCCTGCGAACCGTAGTTTGCTAAGGCTGTTGGGAATTGTAGCATGAGGGGCAAATCACAGTCCCCGGGGTTCTTGGTGGGGAGGCGAGGGGATTGTGTTTTAAAATTGCTTCAGGTGTATACGCAGCCCCAGTTTAATCGGTCTGAGTAAAGCAGAACTAAACAGGTGTCTCCTGAAGCTTTTTCAAGCCCAGAATTTGCTTGTTAGCTTTCCGTAGATAAGGAGTTGAGCAGGAGGTAAATACTAAGGCGGGGGCAAGAAGGAGAACGCAGGATAAGTGGGCCTGGTGGCGGGTGGCTGGCTTTTGGCCTCAAGTATACAGAAAGGAAGACCAAAAGGCGGGGAAATAACTCGGGCGGAAGGTAGGAAGGCAATAAAAACGGGCGGCGCGGCGGGAACAGGCGAGGGGTAGTCAAAGCTGCGTATAGCACGGAAGAAAGGGGCTCATTGGCCTGACCCGAAAACACATCCAATGCCTGCTTAACGACGAGGGAAGGCAGAGACCAGACTCAGAATTTGGAATATGCTGTGTTTAAAGCGACCACAAGCTGCGTGAGGACTATAAACATGCAGATATATTGAAACGTGTATAGGGCAGTGGAAGAAACTCATGTTGAGAAAGTTATTCGCTTTCTCATGTTGAGAAAGTCGTCATGTTTCCCTTTCCCTCCCCGCCTGACGACTGGGAAGCGACGGAGTTGGGCTTCTTTCTCTCCCGCCCCCATGGCTCTATAAAACGTTGCTGGCGCGTCCCTAGCAACCGTTTTGCGCGGGATTTTCCACTTCTTTGTCTCCGAGCGCGGGGGGCTGGCTCCGCCCCCCGCCTCGAAATTGGTTGGATTGCCCAGCTGTCCGTCGCCAGTTCTGCCGCGTCTCATTGGCTCTCGACTCTGCTCTCGGCCTACTCAGGTCGACCCGCGGGCGGGCGGGAAGGCAGTTGCGTCTGAAGTCTGGCAGGAGAGAAGAGAAGTTGGGATGAGCGGGAAGGAAGGTGCTTCGGTTCAGCCCCGGAGCACGTCTTCAGCCCCAGGGACCAGCTCCGGTACATATAGGGTTAAATATAAAGGGTACCTCTGAACATGTGCAGAGGGCGTTTCCTTCTTGGTTGGGTAAACTTAGTTCTCCCCTGCTTCCAAATAGTAGACTCTGGAAACATCCGATTGTTATCAGTCAGTGACTACATTCCCAAGCAATGTGGGTTGGTTTGGGTGCCCCTTCCCCATCATGTGATGGGGGTTATTTGCTGTCAGAATACAGCTGTGATTTCAACCACTTTTCTCGGCTGCTAATAGCAGCCTCTGCCATTGCCCATCAGCTCATTCTTGGTTGGCTCTCCACTAGGGAAATAAATTGCCAGTTTGGGTGGCAAACCCAGTAGCTTTTATCCTGTGCTTGGCTGCTGTTTGCCTAAATGCAGGTTTTGTTTTCCAACTGTAAAGTAATTGCTGTTAAACATTTTAATGGCATCTCTTTCTGCTGGCTTCTGTCTAGTTCTATCCCCTGTTTCAGTGCTTCAAGTCATCCTAGTCCTGCTGAGTTGTCTTATGTTCACTGGCCATCTCCTTGCTGTCCAACTTCCCCATGCCCCCCCAATACAGTGGTACCTCGGGTTAAGTACTTAATTTGTTCCGGAGGTCCGTGCTTAAACTGTTCTTAACCTGAAGTACTGTACCACTTTAGCTAATGGGGCCTCCTGCTGCTGCCACTGCCGCCACCGGAGCACGATCTATGTTCTCATCCTGAAGCAAAGTCCTTAACTCGAGGTACTATTTCTGGGTTAGCGGAGTCTGTAACCTGAAGCGTATGTAACCCGAGGTACCACTGTACCTGTTTTTGCCCTGCTGCCTCTTTATCAACATATCAGAATCTTGTTCAGCCAAACTGAATGGTGTGTACAGCCTGAGATATTAATGTGCAACTTCTGTTTCCCTCACAGAGGCTGGATTTTTTAGGCGGAAGTACTCTAGTCCATGCATGACCATGTCACCATCCAAAGACGTCCTTGTGGGTTCTACAATAGCCTTGTCCCATCCTGGTGTCTGTGAAGAACTAAGCAAGTCATTTGCCTGGATAAATAAGAAAAGGAAGAGTGGGCTTTCCAGGCTCTGCAAGAAGAAAACATCTTTGTCAGGTGATTACTTGGCAGGTGGAGATGTATGAAATGTATTTGTTAGTCAAAGACAGAGGGGTAATTTTCAACTCTTTAATCATGCGGACATGCTTGTGTTTCTCAAAAAGAGCTTTGAGAAAGGAACACTAAGGGAATGGGATAGAAACGAAAGAGGAGTTTATTGGAAAATTGGACAGAAACAGATCATAATTGTCTTTGAATTGTGAATGTTTTTGTAGGCATGCTATGATTTTTTGTAATATGCTGAGCCTTGCTGACTAGATGCTTGGCATTTTGCCATTATTGATCCTTTCCCTCCCACTGTTGGGATCTCATCATATAATGGCTGATATCCGGTACAGGTGCCCTGTGCTTTCTGAGACAGTATTCAGGGAATGAGTCATTTGTCTCTTTAGGTTAATTACCGTAATTAAAACACAATTGCCTTTCTAATCTTTTTCTCATGCTTAGTTCTTCCCTGTAACTTTTTAAAAACAAATTATTGCCTGTAACTATGTTTCTTTTTAACAGTTGATACGTGGTTGTCTTGAAATCTTACATATATTTTAATGACAGATACTTGTGGAACTTTCCCCTCCTTTCTTCTCAGAAAATGGATGGAGTTCCTTTTGCCTATCTTCATTAGCTGCCCAGAACATCTGTGCTAGCAAGTTTCACAACACTTGGACTCATTTGGAAAACAATTCCCTTTCTTGCTCGATATGCAGTACCTCTTCATGTTCTCTCTTAAATGCTCTGACTTTGGAAGAATCCATCCAAGCTCTGGCAACTGCTGTGCGCAACCCAAACAAAGCTGTTTTCACTGTGGATGTCAGAACAACTGAGGTAATAATTAGCTTTTGTAAAGTGTTACCTTACACACAATTGCACACTGTGAATGTGTATGTAGAGGACCCCTGGGTAGCAAAGCCTGTTGTAGTTGTACAACATATATTGCAGTAATTCATTTGCATCATAACGAGTGGTTTTGGATTGGGTCAGGCAGTGTGTGTGAAGGGGGGGGGAATCAATCAAACTAAAGATATTTGTAATTTTCTAGCACAGCACTAATATAATATAAGATAATCATCCTTTTCAGATGCAGAAAACACCCCCCCCTCCTAAAGACTCATATGTACATGTACATTTGTTAGTATACAAATATTGTCTTTAGTGGTGTGTAGAAAACTATGGTAAAATAACTGTATAAAAGTCATTAACAATGCTTGCAACCTTTGATATCATCTGATTCATGACAAGACCCCAAATATGTGCACACAGGAAGCTGCCTTACACAGAGTCAAAGCACTGGTCCACCTGGTTCACTATTTTCTTCAATGACTTCTACAAGAGTGCTTAGCTTCAATTTGTACCAGAGTAGTGAGAAGTCTTGGCCCTGTGTAATAAAGTTTGGTGACTAAGCTGCCACTGTACAACTAAGTGGTTAGAGGAATGGTAGTATGAGGATGCATGTAGAGATGTACATAACTTGAACTGGGGAATTGTACTGCCTACAGTTTGTACAGGTGTATAGGTTTTTTTTCTTCAGCACTGAGTTTATGGTGAGGGTTTGATATCTTTCTTCCTGTTAAATCAGATGTCAGCCATTCAGAAGGCAGATTGTTTGATCCCTGTAATGTCACAAATTTCTTCCTGGAACAGTTTTTCTTCTTTTAAAAAGCTGATCATAGCTTTTTAAAATTTTAATAATATTAATGATACTGTACCAGACTAGCATCCAGATGAATGAACATCCATGTTGTGCTGTACAAATTAACTAAAATAATAATAATAAAAAAATTGGACAGCTCAGCTGAAGCATGGGGCAGAGGCAAGGCAGATTACTGAATCAATGTTGAATTTGCTAACTACTTTGTTAAATGAGTAGCCAAGTTGAGGAGAAAGGAAGCTGGCTGATAGCTAAAGAATAGGGTCGGGCTGCTTTTGCTCTTTTTTAATATTGGAAAAGAGTGTCTACTCCATGTCTTATCTTGAAAATGCAATGGGATCTATATGGATAATTTTTTGCTTTGCTACTACATTGTTGTGTATGGTTGGAGTTGCAAACAGCCCCTTTCACTGAGAGCAGCTGCAGCTGGCTATGTCTGTAAAACTGTAGACCAAAATGGGGCTGGATGTGGTTTGGTAATAACTGTATTTGGTATGCCACTTTTATTGTTAAGGGCCAATTAAGTAATTGTTCTTTTAACTAGAGATTGCTGCCTATATCCGAGAACCCATAATATTGTAGTTTCCTAGTTGTCTGACTTGTTGGTATTTTAGCTTGAATCACTTACTGAAGGCATATTAGTAAACAAGGCTATGGTGCACTGTTAATGGGATATTTATACAATAAATTTATTTGAGCAGTACACAGATAAAGCTGAAAAGAAAACAGTATCTCTTTTAGAGGGTAAATTGTGAAACAGTAATTAGCAGACATTTGTCCTGGTCATATATTTTGGGCACGATCTGGAGAAAGTTACTGTTGCTCCACTGTCTTTTGAGTAAGCATGTATAAGAATGCTTCTGTACAAAGTAACTTGGAATATCAATGTAAACTGAAGAGCTCATTCCCCATTGAAATAGCATCAAACTCTACTTTTAACAGAAGAAGAAAAGCTGAGTTTACTTTTCTTGTTCCTCTGTTTTAGATTCTAGTTGCAAATGACAAAGCCTGCAAGCTTCTTGGTTACAGTACTCAGGAGGTGATTGGCCAGAAATTATCTCAGATGATTTCAAAATCCAATTGGGATATTATGGAAGTACTGAAGGAAGAGCACGATGATGCTGAATATGAAGCAGTAGTTCCCGGAACTGTGGTATGTGAGAACAGAATATTTGTCATAGCAGCAACGTATATGCTACCATTTCTGAATTTTTACTACTACTCATATAGGTATTGATAGCCACAGAAGGGCCTGTAGGAAGCCAACATGTAAATATAAGGCTGCTCTTGCTCATATTTAATGAAGAGGTACTTTAACATTTGTTCAGTTTTTAAACACCTAAAAGTTGTTACTTCAGAAGTAATGTACCGTATGCTTATTTGCTTACACACTTGCATATCCTATATAGTAAAGCTATTACATTTGCAAAATTCCACAAATAAAAACACAAGGTTTATATTGAAAGTAAGTCACTGAAAGTTAGTCACATGGCTGATCAAATTTTAAGCACTACAGATTAGAAATTTAACACTGTCTTTTATCAATAGGTAGATGTTATTTCCCATAGCAATGAAAAGATCCCAGTTTCTGTATGGATGAGAAGAATGAAAACCCATTGCAGTCAGTACTGTGTGGTGGTTTTGGAGCCTGTGGAAAGACTTTCTGCCTCTGTTTTCTTCACAAGCAGAGTGAGTATCCAGTTAGCTTAAATTGCAGCAATGTCTTTCAACTAGCTATCAAGTACAGTTATGGGGTACTAGGAGTTATTGAAACGATTTTGGTTTTCATCACACACAAAGCAATTTACCAGCCAATTTTTGTCTATATATATATATATAATCCATTTTTATATATATCCATATATATATATATATATATATATATATATATATGCTTTCGTAGATTTTCACGGGTACAGGAATGCAGGTTTTGGTGTCCTCGGGTGTCTTCCCGTGTAAAAGTTGGGGTGTCTAGGCGACGTTTCGACGAGGTCTCACTCGTCATCTTCAGGCTGGTGCTTTCGGCTTCTTGTTACTGGAACAGAGCAGGATCTCAGTGTTTGAGTTCCTATAAATACTGTTGAGGAGGTGTGGTGTATAGCCTCCAATGTTCTGGGCAGAGAGGAAGTTCCCAGGCTAGTGTGCCTTTTCTTCTTTTGTTCCTTAATTACTTGAGGGATATCTTGAGTGATTTCTTGAGTGATATCTTGAGTACCACTTAGGTGGGTCATTAGGTGTGGATTAGTTGCTAAAGCCTTCGTGTCTTGACCTCTTGAACTTTGTGAAGAGTTTTTCTGAGAAGATGGCTGTACTGCACTTAGTTGTGCTCTGGCTTGGCTTCGTGTGTAGGGGCGAGCTGTGGTTTTGTGGCCTGTGTCAGCCAGATCTGTGTAGGGATTGCAGGGGGGTGCAGCATCCGGAGGTGCCACCATGGTTTGGCTACTGGATGGTGTCTGTAATTTATCTGTGGAGAGGGTCTGGGTTTGGGTCTGGTGTGGTTGATTGGTGATGGCGTTCTGTGTGCCTCTGGATCTGGTGTCGGTTTTTGTGGGGAGGGCTAATTTCCAGATGTCTGGCAGGCGGGATGTGTCGTCACGCTTGTTCATGTTGTGAGGGTGTTTCTCTATCTCGATGGCTTCCATGATTATTCTCTTGTGGTGATGTTCCATGTTAAAGAGCAATTTGGAATCTGCAAAATTAATTTCGTGTCCTGTTTCTTTCATGTGTTGGAAAAGAGAGGAAGTTTTTTCTTCTTTTTTGACGGCATTCTTGTGTTCTGCGATACGTGCATTTATTCGTCTGTTTGTTTGTCCAATGTACGTGGCTGGGCAGACTTTGCAGGGTATTTCATAGACCCCTTGGTTTTCCAACTGGATTTTATCCTTGGGGTTTCTGAGGATATTGGCTATTTTTTGGTTGGTGCAAAAGGCTGTTTTGATATTGTGTTTATGGAGGATTTTGCTAATTTTATCTGTAGTGCCCTTGATATAAGGAAGGAGGGCCATGCCATTGTTTTCTTCTGTGTCTTGGTTTTTGGGGGGTGTTTCTTTTTGGATTAGCTTCGTAACCCTGTTTTGCTGGTATCCATTGGCGATTAACACATTTGAGAGATTCTGTAACTCAGTTGTCAAGTGGTCTTTGTCAGCCAGGCGTTTGGTTCTGGAGATGAGAGTCTTGGCTACGGAGTTTATTTGTGCAGGGTGGTGGTGTGATTGTGCATGTAAGTAGCGGTTGGTGTGTGTTTTTTTCCGGTAGATAGTGTGTCCTAGGGAGCCATCAGGTTTTTTGTAGATTAGGACGTCAAGGAAGGGAAGTTGGTTGTTGGCTTCTATTTCCATAGTGAATTGTATTTTGGGGTGTAGGCTGTTGAGATGTGTGAGGAAGCTATCTAGTTTTTCCTTCCCGTGTGGCCAAATTACAAAGGTGTCGTCAACATATCTGAGCCAAAGTTTGGGTTTGTGTTCTGACTTGTCTAAAGCATTGGTTTCAAAGTGTTCCATGTACAGATTTGCGATGACCGGTGAGAGGGGTGATCCCATAGGTGCTCCTTCTATCTGTTTGTATCTTTGTCCATTGTGGATGAAGTACGTGTTGGTTAGGCAGTGGTTGGTCAGGTCCAGGATGTATTCGGGGGGATTGTATTTGTTTTGAATGGCTGTCAAGGCTTCATTAATGGGCACTTGTGTGAAGAGAGATACAACATCGAAGCTCACAAGTAGGTCATCGGGATGTAGGTTTTGCTTCTTTATTGTTTCTATGAACTGGAAGGAGTTTGTAACGTGTGAAGAGATGGATTCTGCATAGGGCTGAAGTTGCTTAGCGAGAAATTTAGCAAGATTTTGTAGAGGTGAGCCTATGGAGCTGACTATTGGTCTGAGTGGTGTTCCTTCTTTGTTCCTTCTTTTGAATGCCTTGACAGCCATTCAAAACAAATACAATCCCCCCGAATACATCCTGGACCTGACCAACCACTGCCTAACCAACACGTACTTCATCCACAATGGACAAAGATACAAACAGATAGAAGGAGCACCTATGGGATCACCCCTCTCACCGGTCATCGCAAATCTGTACATGGAACACTTTGAAACCAATGCTTTAGACAAGTCAGAACACAAACCCAAACTTTGGCTCAGATATGTTGACGACACCTTTGTAATTTGGCCACACGGGAAGGAAAAACTAGATAGCTTCCTCACACATCTCAACAGCCTACACCCCAAAATACAATTCACTATGGAAATAGAAGCCAACAACCAACTTCCCTTCCTTGACGTCCTAATCTACAAAAAACCTGATGGCTCCCTAGGACACACTATCTACCGGAAAAAAACACACACCAACCGCTACTTACATGCACAATCACACCACCACCCTGCACAAATAAACTCCGTAGCCAAGACTCTCATCTCCAGAACCAAACGCCTGGCTGACAAAGACCACTTGACAACTGAGTTACAGAATCTCTCAAATGTGTTAATCGCCAATGGATACCAGCAAAACAGGGTTACGAAGCTAATCCAAAAAGAAACACCCCCCAAAAACCAAGACACAGAAGAAAACAATGGCATGGCCCTCCTTCCTTATATCAAGGGCACTACAGATAAAATTAGCAAAATCCTCCATAAACACAATATCAAAACAGCCTTTTGCACCAACCAAAAAATAGCCAATATCCTCAGAAACCCCAAAGATAAAATCCAGTTGGAAAACCAAGGGGTCTATGAAATACCCTGCAAAGCCTGCCCAGCCACGTACATTGGACAAACAAACAGACGAATAAATGCACGTATCGCAGAACACAAGAATGCCGTCAAAAAAGAAGAAAAAACTTCCTCTCTTTTCCAACACATGAAAGAAACAGGACACGAAATCAATTTTGCAGATTCCAAATTGCTCTTTAACATGGAACATCACCACAAGAGAATAATCATGGAAGCCATCGAGATAGAGAAACACCCTCACAACATGAACAAGCGTGACGACACGTCCCGCCTGCCAGACATCTGGAAATTAGCCCTCCCCACAAAAACCGACACCAGATCCAGAGGCACACAGAACGCCATCACCAATCAACCACACCAGACCCAAACCCAGACCCTCTCCACAGATAAATTACAGACACCATCCAGTAGCCAAACCATGGTGGCACCTCCGGATGCTGCACCCCCTGCAATCCCTACACAGATCTGACTGGCACAGGGCACAAAACCACAGCTCGCCCCTATACCCGAAGCCAAGCCAGAGCACAACTAAGTGCAGTACAGCCATCTTCTCAGAAAAACTTTTCACAAAGTTCAAGAGGTCAAGACACGAAGGCTTGAGCAACTAATCCACACCTAATGACCCACCTAAATGGTACTCAGAATATCACTCAAGAAATCACTCAAGATATCCCTCAAGTAATTAAGGAACAAAGAAGAATAGGCACACTAGCCTGGGAACTTCCTCTCTGCCCAGAACATTGGAGGCTATACACCACACCCCCTCAACAGTATTTATAGGAACTCAAACACTGAGATCCTGCTCTGTTCCAGTAACAAGAAGCCGAAAGCACCAGCCTGAAGATGACGAGTGAGACCTCGTCGAAACGTCGCCTAGACACCCCAACTTCTACACGGGAAGACACCCGAGGACACCAAAACCTGCATATATATATATATATATATATATATGCTTTCGTAGATTTTCACGGGTACAGGAATGCAGGTTTTCATATATATATGATCATTTTCAGTTTGGTTGTTTAAGATAGGCTGTAAACCACTTAAGAGATTCCTTTGGAGATGTGAAGTGGCATAAATTTGATATAAATAAATAAATTGATAAATGTAAAATAAGATTCAGTGAAATAAAGTATGTGTAAGGTACATAAACACAAGTATGATTTAATGATAATTAAATTTTTAGTTCTCAAAGGTTAATTTCCACATTTTACATGGGATATGGCCCTGGAAATGCCTCAGCACATTGTATGTATTTCTTAATTTTTGATGGAAATGACACCATGTAATATTGGGGCATTCTAGAAATCTCGGTCCATCTCGATTTTGCCTAATAAACTCATTTGCCATTATATTCATTTGCTTTATATGCAGCAGTGAAATAGTTAAGCTCTTAAAGCAATCACTCTTTCAACTCTCTCCTGTCAGACTCATTGTCAGTTATCACTCTTGGTTTTTTCTGTTCTTTGTGTGTTCAGGATGTAATATTGACATGTTGGCAGAATGGGGAAATTTGTAGGATTGTGCTCAGCACAGTCACAGTTAATGCTTGCAAGTCCGGTGGGGGAAGGGAAGAGCCATGGAAGCAGAAAGGGAAATTGCAAGAGATATGAGTGCTTTGAAATTGTCCAAAATCTGCTTTAAGTAATTACGTGAGACTGTCCTATTGTGTTTTTTTAAGGATGAATTCACGATACATACAAATTCTTCAGAGAAGAAATGTCTCCTGTCTTTCAGTGTGAAACATTGTGCACACTGATGGACAGTAATAGCTTCGCATCCTGGAAACAGAAATGCCAGCAAAGCAGAAGACAATTGGGTTGCAGCAATTTCACAGTTGCAGTTCAGTGTGTGGCTCCATCTACTCTAGCTTTCTTTATATATCCCACCAATAACTCTACAGATCCGCTTGGGGAAATATATAACACTTTTGGTATTGCACCCTCTTAAGTGCTGGGCCTGAAAATCCTGAGGCTAAATCTGTCTTCCTCCACTTTTGAAGTTCCATGACCTTCAGAGTTTTTGGCCTCTTTAACAATCCTATCTCTTCCCAGATTAAGCTACTTTTTAAAAAAATTTATATAGCAGCATTATAGGACAAAATACCTATGCTCTAGATCTGTCATGTCGGTTCTAGTTGTTGCTAATGTTGGATGCCCTATTTTAACTTGTTTGTAACATGCAGTATCAGCATGTCTTTAAACTCTTTAACTGGTAACAAGTGGTTTAGTTTAAAGAAAACTAGGTGGGTTAAGTAGAGAACACTCTGAGTAGGAAACAAATAATGGCTCAACAAAAATTCCCCATGCTAACATCCTCTCCAGATCTCTAGACAATCTAGTGTGAACATAACTATGTGCAAATATTTGATTCAATTTTTCTAAAAGCTGACAAATCTCACTATTAGTCAAATCACACCTAAACCAATTGATGGGTTTTACCCTATACAGTGGTATCTTGGTATGCAAACGGGAACCGTTCCAGAGCCCCGTTCGCATCCTGAATGGAACATAAGATACATCTGCGCATGCGCGGGTCACGTTTTGCTGCTTCCGCGCATGCGCGTGATGTCATTTTGAGCGTGAATGGCGAAACCTGGAAGTAACGCGCTCCATTACTTCCGGGTTGCCGCAGAGCGCAACCCAAAAGCACTCAACCTGAAGCACATTCAACTCGAGGTATGACTGTAATTAAAATAGTGTCCATGAACCTCAGAGCTTTTACTACTGCCTATAGCCAACAGACGCGGGTGGCGCTATGGGTAAAACCTCAGCGCCTAGGGCTTGTCGATCGCATGGTCGGCGTTTTGAATCCCCGCGGCGGGGTGAGCTCCCGTCTTTCAGTCCCAGCTCCTGCCCACCTAGCAGTTCGAAAGCACCCTTAAGTGCAAGTAGATAAATAGGTACCGCTTTATAGCGGGAAGGTAAACGGCGTTTCCGTGTGCTGCCTGGTGCCGGCTCGCCAGAGCAGCTTCGTCACGCTGGCCATGTGACCCGGAAGTGTCTCCAGACAGCGCTGGCCCCTGGCCTCTTAAGTGAGATGGGCGCACAACCCTAGAGTCGGACACGACTGGCCTGTACGGGCAGGGGTACCTTTACCTTTACCTATAGCCAACAGAACTCTGAGCAAAGGGTTGTCTTCTCCCTTTTCTGTATACACTGGTGGGAAATCCTGCTGCACATAAGGGGCTGCTTTATTAGGAGCACAGCTGATTTGGAAATTGGAAGATTTGCATACATTTCTTCTGCTTAAAAATATCTTTATGTAGATGTTACTTTTTTACATAAATTTAACTCTGTCTTTCCTTGAATGCATCTAAACATTTTTGCTTCTCATTGTTGTGTCTACTCATAGGTATAAAAGAAGTTATTTTTATGTCTGACAAATATCACGATACTGTGGAGATGACAGCTGCACGGCGCTTGTTTGATTTAGCTGGAATTATATACAGGTGAGGTAATGCATGGGCTCTTGCATCTTTTGTCCCTTCCATCCTTTCATATGCTTCTGTGCTGTTCTGAAGCCCCACACCTATTCAACTATAGGCCTCCTCCCATTCATGATGCAAGTAAGAGAAATGATATCATTAAGGGCTCAAAGGATCAGGGCCAAATACAGGGAAGTGGTTGCCTGCTGTAAGCTTTTCTGTAACCTATTTCACAGCCTTTGTGCAAAAAGGGATGTAGTGGCTGCCACCAAATATATTTGGATTCTTTGAAAATCATGGCAGACAAGTCTCCTGCCCCAACCTGTAGAGAAAAGCAGGTCATATTTATTTATCTATGAGGAAGATACCTTTATGGAAAACATTATACCTTCTTCCTATATTGCGTATTATTTCCCTAAGAAATATGGCCTCTGTTTGTACATTGCAAAATGCATGTATTTATTGTTTGCAGTGTTATTCTTGTTTGTATTCTGCCAAATAAGAATTTATTGTTCACGTAAAATACAGGCTGTATAGCATGTTGTCATATTGGCTGTGCTTAAAGAATATAGCAGTAGAGGTGTTACAAAGGTTGTCTTCGGTTATTCCTAGCAAGTTACTTCTTAAAGCTGAAGCCTCTGCTTCCTCACTCAGAAAACAGTGTCTTACTTCCATGTAAGAGCATAAAAGATAAACATCAGGCTGCAATCCTATACACCTCACCTGGTTTAGCTGGCCAATCAAAACCATTTCCTGGGATGTCCTGTTTCCTGGGGTGTGGCCGCTGTCACATGCTGGCAGCTTCTAGGAGACACAGGTGAGAACTGAGTGCAGGGGGGAGACCAAATGTGGACAAACTACCCCAGAAGGAGCACAACGTGTTCCCCACCAGAGGTATTGCCCTCCCCTAATGCCCCAACTCCCCATCCAAGTGCAATACTCCAGAAGAAATTGCAGTATAGATCCATGATAGATATGGATTGTGACTAATGTTGTGTGTACACCACTTCGCAAACCAATGGTGGGAGAGGACTTTATGCAGACTAAAGGAGACTGTGTACACAGCCTTCGGGTATAACCAAGCCAATCTTTTCATGAAATATGGCCTGAAGGGGAAAAAGGGTATATTTTATAAGGCACTAAGGGAGGTTAATGTGTTCAACTAATGGTTTAACACCTTTATGATGCCGTGGTGAAAGGCTAATTATTATGAATTTAAAAACTTGAAATTCTTAATATTAATGTAGAACCTTCTTGCATGTTTTAACAGTTCTGACTGAAAACGTTAAGCTGACTTCTAGCTCCTGGGCTAAAGTAGAAATCATGAGCCAATAATGCAGCATTTGAAATTCTGTTCTAAAGTTATTCCTTGTATTATATGTCTACCATGGGCACTAGGTGAAGTGGAGGCATAACTCATTCTGTTGCAAGTGAAATATTTCCAGAGCTTGCCCATGATTAGGGTGCCTCCAGCGCTTCCAAGCGATAGGCTGGATAAAGTGTGTGTGCCACCCTCCTCCCAAACTTGTCCTTCATTCTCTTGGCTGTTTTTGCCTCTTCGTATTGATTTGTGAGGATATGGTTATGCTTAATGAATCTCTAGAACTGAATTGTCAAGCTTAATGAGACACTAAATCCACACTATTTGCATAATCCTCTGTTTACTGGTAGATTGTAAAATATACACACAGTCCCAAATACCTTTCTTGCTAATTGCTGCAGCAGATGCTCTAATGATGTAAAAGGATGAGCTTTGTTGGCAATATTAATTTTACAATTCTAAAGTTGTAACTTAAAAATTATTCCAGTTTCACTAGTTTATATTTTCTATCCCCTGCATAATGCAGTATATTTCCCCCCTTTGCAGTGAAATTACTGAAGCAAACTTTGGAAGTTTTCTGTGAAAAAATTGGCATGAAAAAATATCAAATGTTACAGAAAGACTGGTTACATGATGCCACCTCCTGCAGCTAGGTTGTTAGAAATCCTTTGACTCCTGGCTAATTTATGAACTCCAATAGCTGAAGAACATACAAACTAAGCAACCCCATGTGTCTTTTTGTCTTAGACTTTCTTGTCCGGGTTTCTCTCAGTATGGTGCACTATAATTGGCTCCTATAGAGATGAAACACAGAGTGAATCCAATGATATTTTCCCCTTCTTAAAATTTAGTTGGGAGGCAAAGCAAACAAAATGTTTAACTACTTCACTAGCTAATATCCATCTCTCTCCTTCTCTCTCTCTCCATTTCTTCCCCAGGAAATTCAAACCTAAGTGCAGTAAGATAGTCATTGATTTTGATTCAATTAACAGCAGACCGTGTCAAAAGCCTCTGTGAGTTACATCTAATTAAATCTCTAGAAGATTGTGATGATCCTTTTCTTAGAAGCTGCTAATGCCTTTCATCTTGAAGTTTGGCATAACTTTTTAATAGCCCACTACAGTTGTAAGTAGACATCTAAGGAATATGTCAGGCCCAGAAAATTTTGTCCTCCTTGCCATATGTTTTAAGCTTTGACTTCCTGGAGTTTTCCAAATCTTTTCTAAATGGAACCTATAGGTGAGGTCTGGACTTGTGTATGAACAATAGGAAAGGTGTATTCACTGTGCCAACATCTGATGTGAATGAAGAGAACCAAAGTCACAAGCAATAACCTTTGAATATTGGCTCGATCAAGAAAGCTGCTGGATAGCTTGTATGGTGACATGTAAACTGTAGGAATGCATCTACCAGCCTAGCAGGTATGCATAAAACACAAACTATTGAAAATGTCATTTTTCAAGCAATATGGCTAGATGTCTCTATAACAGTCAAAATATTGTGTTGTGTGAAATCCATACTGGTACATTACACCTTGATATTTTACCAGATGTTCATCTCTTTAATTGCTTCTCCTGTTGCAGTGTAGCGTGTGAGCATGTGTTCAATTATGTTTGAAGAATGTTTTGTATTGGATGTAGTTTCAGAGTAGCTTTAATTCCTTTCCCCCAAGATACCTTCCATTTAGCAGAGGATAAGTGCATAAATCATTAGGCTTTCACCTATGGGACTCTGTTTGGAACTGATTTAATGTCTAAAAGGAGACACATTTATTGGTCTAAATCTCTACTAGACAATCCAGCACATTACAATTCTGGGATCAGCCTCTAAGGTAACTTAATCACTGCTTTCCCTCTAAGGGAAATGAGGAGATTCAGTCCGCACTGAGGTTGAACATGCCAAATGTCATAATTATGGTTTTAGCTTGCTTTTAGTTGTTAAAAACTGGCCCTGTGCCATAAGTTCTGGAAACACAGGCTAAAACTATCAAGGGCTTTCAATATCTCCCTTTCTATTTGATTTTGGGAGGGAATGCCTAATTGTGCATGTTTAGAAAATGTTTCCAACCCCAAAGGTATTCATGTTTTTTAAACATTGTGATGTTTTCCTGGACTCTTATTTTCTATGTTGAAACCATTCTGTAGATTAAGACATTGTGTAATTTGGCTTGCCACCAGTATTATTAAAGTCTTATTAAAATCCTACTTTGTTGAAGTAGACTCATTATTATTATATTGGCACTATATGTTTGGCTCTAGAGAGCTGCTGTTTCTGCAATCATATGCAAAGTGTATTTTGTATATTTGCTGTATCATTACAGAAATTGTAATGATCAAAAATTACTTTGCTGCTGAAGAAGTCATGCTGTAGTGGTGGTTACATGTGAACCTTTAAGTTTTTGTGTGTTTTTTTAATATTCAGCCAATTGAAAAATACGCTCCAGCTTCCCCTAATTTCCATCTGAAATCTGGCTTAATTGTTTTAGGAGTATTTTCTTAATTTGTGGGTCAGCCTAACCATTTATGCAGATGAATATTGATTTTGGAATATTGATTTTTTATTTAATTTTATTTCTTGTGTGTGTTTCTGAATATTTAAAGGAAAACCCCTCAAACACACAAAAAGCCTCTGGTAGTGTATTGACATGGCAGTGTCATGTAGATTGAAGTGCACATATTTTTCTTGTCCACACAGTGTCCTAAATCCAAAGGCCAGCTGAAACGTTTTTCCAATCTAATACTCCTCCCTTCCCCACCCCCAAATCTCTGGATAAGCTGGTATGAAACATATTGCATTAACACTGCACAAGTGTGGATGCTCTGCAGTGCGATTCTGACATGCTTTTGTGGCTGGTTATTCACCTAAGTGGTGATGTTCTTGGATTTCACAACACCCTTGTTCTTAATGCAGTATCTAAAGGATGAGCAGAATTGTACTGCCTAGATACGTATAGAGACATTTTCCTGTTGTGGTTAGTAGGGCAGTGCTTTCAAATGGTTGCATTTAAAGGAAATATTCCAAACAGGCAAGAGTCATTCTATAAGGAATTCCTTGATAACTGAGGCATAATAACACTAAATCGGAGATGAGTGTTGCTGGCTGTCATGACCAATAAAGTAACATACAAGGGCCCAAAGTACTCAGTAGAATTGGTACGCTCAAAGGAGAGACATGCAGGGAAAATAAGAGATAGACTACTTTGTCACTAGGGACGTGGGTGGCGCTGTGGGTAAAAAGCCTCAGCGCCTAGGGCTTGCCGATCGAAAGGTTGCGGTTCGAATCCCCGCGGCGGGGTGCACTCCCGTTGCTCGGTCCCAGCGCCTGCCAACCTAGCAGTTCGAAAGCACTCCCGGGTGCAAGTAGATAAATAGGGACCGCTTACTAGCGGGAAGGTAAACGGCGTTCCGTGTGCGGCTCTGGCTCGCCAGAGCAGCTTTGTCACGCTGGCCACGTGACCCGGAAGTGTCTCCGGACAGCGCTGGCCCCCGGCCTCTTGAGTGAGATGGGCGCACAACCTAGAGTCTGTCAAGACTGGCCCATACGGGCAGGGGTACCTTTACCTTTACTTTGTCACTTCTGGTTGATATTCAGCAGCATACACAAGGAGGTAGAAATACAGGCCTCTTACAGGCCTAAAGGAAGTCATTCAGTTATGCATGTTTCAAATTATTATTATTTTTAAATCCACTATCCTAAGCAGTACCAAATGCCTGAAGAGGAGATTATGAAATTTTGACTCATTTTGGATGCTGGTACTACAGTCTTCTAATCGCGGTGATTTTTTTTAACAGATTGTCTTAGTTGTTTAGTGCAATGTGTACAGATAGTCCAAGGGGGTTTTCAAAAAGACCAACCACCACCAAAGGCAATAAATGCAGTTCATAGGTTAAACCACCACTAAATGGCCTGGAATGTTACTTTGCAGCATATTTCTAGCTAGTCAATAAACAGAGAAAACCTATGCTTGCTTTTCATGGAGAAGTTTTATCAGGGATACAGGTTGGCCTTTTACCTCCATTGTACTATGTTCTAGCTGGAATCATTGCTGGATTTAAAAGTACCCATTAATATATTGTTATTGTTGTTTTTTTTTGTTCATAACAAGAACTTGAATAGTGCATGTACACAAGAGACTCTTAAGAATCCCTGAAGGCAGTGCTGCTATAACTTCTACTGAATGAGAGGTAGGAATGGTTCATAGTGCTATCCAGGCTTCTTTTGGGTAATGTGATGGGCACTGGTTTTCAGCATTTCTGTCTGGAGGGAACCACTTTTCACATGGCTGCAGAACTGCCAAGCCTCTGCTATGGATCCGTTTGTTCATTTGAGGGACTTGGGGCATATTCCTAGGGTGTTCACACAGGTTATTGGCCATATTAGAGGAGTCTACATATCAACGTACAGCTGCACAATGCAGCATAAAATCAGTAGTGATTAGCAAGCTTCAGGGAAGCTTTTCTCCCATTACCGATCTTTTCATTCAATCTCTGAATGAACTTGAGGATTCCTCCAGAATACTGTTTGAACACTGCTGCCCTGGAATGTCCCCGTTGCAGAGAGCTTTGCACAGTGCCTTTCACACTGCATTAGCCAAGTGGCCCCAGGGAATAAAAAGAAACGTAATAATGAAATATTCCCCTGCATATAACGTTTGATACAGGTTCCTTGGAAGAGCTATGAAATGTCCACAGAGAGCTCCACAGGAAGACTTTGGGCTTAACCAAAGCATATTCCTTTTTTAAAAATTTAGAACAGGGTAGCTGTATTTAAGCCATTCCATTTTGAGATTATTATATTTATGCTGCTTTTACTGTATTGGCCATGTGCCAATGCCAGAATGCAAGTATGGCAAAGACAGAGAGTTTTCTATTACAAATCCAATAACAGTTTATGGCTTTGTTCTTCTGGGGTCCTAAATCACATCTGGCTGATAATCTGAGGTGCTTCTTTTAAGCTTT